AGCCTTTATCCTCATTCTATTCATTGCAGTAGTGCATGATGAAACATTTGGTTTCCAGGTTGTATCAGCTTGCTGATTTTTATGTAAGGTTTCATGTACGTCACTATTCCCTGTGGGTTTATTTCCCTACCTTGAGTTGTCACGTTGCTTCATTGATTGTTGTGTGTTTGTTGTTTAACGCTGTACACAGCAATATTCCAGCTATATGGCTGCGGGTTGTGAAAAGTCGCGTCTGGACCAATCCATCCAGTGATCAACATCGTTAGCATCGATCTAGGCAATTGGGATAAGATGCCATGTGTCACCCAAGTCAGCGAGACTGACCATCCGATACTGTCAGTCGTCTCTTACGATAAGCATGGGTTCTTGAAAACCAATTCTCGTCATAGGTGTATCATCTTAAATATTGTTTCGTGTATATTTGTGGCAAGGTATACTGGGTTCAAATCCAACAGTAACCTCTTGGCAGACGCGTTGCTTTGAATTGTATAGTTAGCTGACACCCATAGAATCAATTCATACACCCTTTGGATCAGCATGAAACCAAATTCACTGACCTTTTCCGCGGATAAAACTAAACAAATGGGCGAATATATTTTTGCCAAGTCACTAGTGTTTTGTATTATTCATCGCGTGATGTGACAAATGAAATGTTCACGGGTTGTACTTTCTCAGGTCAGAACAACACGACATTTAACACGAATGTATTTTCTTTCTGAATGATTCACCACGGTATCCCTGAAGCAACTTTTAAATAGTTTTGCATAAGGTGTTACTTCACTTGAGTGCCAGGGTCATTTTTTCAAACAATAATCAAACTACCTTTCAAATGGTGTTGACGCGATTGACGCGCCATTTGACGCAGTGATGTATAATTGTACTGGGTATTTATTACGTTTTACGGTTCCTTGAGGAATCAATAGAAAATGTATGTGAACCAACAGTTCAAAAGTTTCAAGAACTTTTGCTACTGTTTCATTACCATAATCCCCACCGGTATCCAACTGCTTGAAGTCACTTTCCAGATACGGTTGTGCATGGCTATGAAGACACCTAGTTTCCTACTCTAGACCTGTCATTTCTAGAGAGGTATTGTAACAGAACAGGATTGTAATGAGATTGTTCAACTTGATCAGTGAACAGTGTACAGCTGTGCATTAACATTCTGTTTGAGATAAAGTTTTGCTGGATAATAACTGTTTCCCTAGATTGTGCAGTTTGTGTGTTTGGTTTTCAATGTCACGATGGCCACATATACTATTGCAGATATTTGTCATTAAGACATTGTTTCTGACGCTTTCACTGAGTACAGATTTTCGATGCCCACGTATACGTGAAAACGAGACATTACAAAGGCAAACTTTCATCAACATAAAATTTATTAACACTCCATTAACATTATATAACAATTAACAGTTCAGTTGAAGCAAAGCGAATAGTATCACATAGAGGTCTGACCGTTTTTTATTGATATCTAACGAGTAATAAGTAATAACCTCTCACCTGGAATATACTCTGGCATATGTGGAACACTGACTGAAGTAAAAACAAATCTAAGAACAAATATTGAAACATTCAGCCTAGCATTACAGCAGTGTTCATACGTGGTGTTCACTTAGTGAAAAATGAACACGTGTCACTATTAATGTTACAATGTATTACAACCAAACAAAGATACACATTTTGTGTAGGGAGGACAAAGTATTCAGCACATCTGTCTTCAGATGTCATTGTTGTACCAACCATATATTTCCAGAGAAACGTTCAGTGCCTCAAACGAACATGGACATCTCATTCCGACATCTGACCACTCCCAGAGTTGACCTAAATTGATGTTCAAGTTCTTCAGGCAGGGTCAGGTAACATGTATTTCAAAAATACCTCCAAGACGAAAAACAAAGACTACGTTTTGATCCCTTAGGGGCATTCGAGAGGCATGACATTGAATGGAACAGAGCAGAAGTTTCTCTGATTAAAGTCTTCTCATTCCTTGAGAGTTTATGTGAAGGAAAAATGCTACTGAAAGTAACTGTGACATTTCATAATATCGGTAAAATTATGTGTTTTCATATTTAGATATAAACTTTTCATTAACACCCGCACACCCTAAAAATACATGTACATCTCCTAATTTTGAAAAAAATACATCCTTCAGAGAACAAGCAACATGTTTATTGAAAATATTTATAGATAACGATAGCACTATGATTCGGTGAAAACTTAAATCATGTTGACGATAACATAACAATACAAATATAGACTGCTATATTACAACACGTTTCTATGTAAACTGTAAAATACTCACTAACACTTACATTCACATGGTGAACATTAGTATGATTACTTTGGTAAATGGTTAAATGTGTGCGTCTATCTTTTCCATCGTATTAATAAGCTTATACAAATGGCATATATGGTTAATAGGTTCAGTAGAATGTAATCATGAGCTGAATATTGTTGGTGATGAGTTTTTACAACAAAAAGAGAAGAGAGATATACATTATAGTAGAAAAACAAATACCTTATTCCAGTGACACTATATTGGCGTCCATGTACAGGTATGAATACAACATAATATGTTTATATGGAAACTATTATCACACTGCTTGATGCTAATGTCTTAAAAGGCTAATGCGACGCTGTTGAGCGCGATCGGCATCCTTTTATATGTTTTACATGATGAAGACTAATATATGGCTTTAAATGTGTATTCCTTTCTTAAATAAGCATATATATATACATATATATTATCTCAGACAACATAGCAAATAAAGAGTAAACAGCACCATCGAACTGATGCTAACAGTGAACAAGAAGAGATCTGAATAACTGATATTATCTCCATATGTCAACAAAACATTCTACATGTCCAAGCAACTCACCAAAAACCATGTTACACGGTATTAAATGAAGCTATGCGCATTCTAAGTTAATAAATTATTAATAGGTGTGACTCACGGAAATGAATGACCAAAAACACATCTACACAGATAAAGATGTTACAGGGGCAGTGATGTTTGTGAGTTTTTCCTTCGACCTCTACTTGATAAAGAAGTAATTTGCTGAAGCACCGCCATGTGGAGGTCGCAATTTTGTTGCCTTGAAAGTCTTTCGGGAGCTATATGCCAGATTATGACATCATCGATACACCATGGAAGCATGATATGAGAAATGGATGTGTCGCTGACATGGCCAAACATGATTGCTTCACATGTCCTTGTAGAGTTATATGTTTCCTAGTTTTATTATTCAACTGACGAGGAACTAAGAGTATAATCTGAAATGTCGTGTTGCTCAAAATGAAGAAGTTGGCTTCCATTAATTCTCGCCTTTATGTGTATCACCTCTGAATTTCGTTCAAATGCGATCATTTTAAAACTGAAACAATTTACATGGACTCCAGAGAGACACAATAAAATCAGCAAATCTGTCCTTGGATCGTCCCATTAGTCAGCTGTGGAAGTACACATAACCCTGGCTATGACTGAAATGTGAATGTTGAGATCACTTTTTAAAAACTGTATGCAGTCGTCATCATTATTCTGTTAGTGATCAGTCCGTGCTTGAGCTGACCAGCTTCTTATTGAAACCCTCGTTCTGAGTGTCTGCAAAATATGTACATTTCTGGAAGACTGAAATGTTGGTAGACGATCTCATCGTGACTCTGTGGACAACAAATTTAGCTTGTACTAATTATATATCCAGGTATTATTTACTCTTTATCCCAAACAAATGCACATGTTAAGAAGTATTTGTTTCCTAAACCGGCCTTTATGTAGATGTGATTTACGTGAAAAACAATTCTTTCAATTTTTCTCTAAAACAATATGGAAAGTATAAATAAACTAAACATATACAAATGCCAAAAAATACATGTCGCAAAATGGGTTCATTTTATATAAACAATATAATAACATACATTTTTAATAACTACGTTTAAACAGCTCCCAAAACTGATTTATAATTTCTTCTGATTGTTTTTTGTCATTTCTTATGAATGTTTGATATTTGTACCTTCGAATATATTCAGAGTATATATTTTTTAAAATATGTTACTTGTAAAAGAGCAGAAACAGATATATACATTTTAGCTGGTAGATATGGACAGATACATGTATGATTGTTGGCCCCAATTACCGTAAATTGAAACCTGCAGTAATATGTGTACAAATAGCATGTTCGTATCAACTGTAAACATAAAGGCATCTTTGTTAGAAAGCTTTCCGTGGACTCTGTTAACGACTCAACAACCACCCAACCTCCAAAGCCACCAATGTTTTCAGAAAACGCCATGTGATCATTACATGTTAAGTCAAATCAAGATCAAGCCTCAACAGAAGTATATGCATTGGGTTTATATTGTATACAGCGGGGAAAAAACTCTATTCGGACCGTTACCGTTACTGTCCACAGTTGTACTTGAATACATCAAAATGTCAAAATGGCCATCTCCACAAACAGCATAGTGTCGCATATTCAGAAAAAAAAATAAAATACTATCTGCCTACGATTACTGTGAATATATGTTATGTTCGTAAACTACATATAAGGAACTCGATATTTTCGTCTGTGTTCCCCATCTCCAGCCTGCTCTTCATTTTCGCTTCTACGTGTAATAATTGAAAGTATTCATATCTGAGTTCTCCCGGGGGCTGGGAAAATGTATGTGATGTGACAAAATATATACTCTTACCATTGTACTCTCAAAGACCAGATCGTCTTGATCTTTCGTAATATACATGTATTAAAAATGTTTTCCAAACAAAACTACTCGATCTGGAAATATATTGATTTCAAGTTATCTGAATTTTAGGAGTTAGGAATATAAGGTACACAATAACCTTCCTGGTTGAGGATGGATATGAAGACCAAATAATGTACAGATGTCGGATACTTGGGTTGAAAATCCTACCAAAACAATAAACTAATCTAACCAAATAATATCGGTTAATGAAAAACAACTATTAACAAGAGCATTTTCATAATTTCTTGCAAGAAACAGCGTGCTCTGTATTTACCGATGGTGTGTGGAATCACGGTAACAGTGTTTTGCATTCCCAAACGAACATGCCACGACAACAGGCGCGAGTTGGACCAAGTGCACAGGAATGTGAGTGAGACTTTCCAATCGAAGACGCCTTCTTTGGCTTAGTCGGTGTCAAACCACTGCATCTCCCGAGGGGCAAGCATTAACCTCTGAACGTCGGTGTTGACGTTATCACGTTAGGGTGGTTGTAGATGCTGTCTCTATCTTCAAAGGCTTCATTTGGACAGAATCCTAAAGAAATTGAAAATGAAGACTCAATATTTGATCTTGGAGACGAAATAAATTATGTTCCTTGGGAACACAAAGTATGATATCAAGCCATGATTAATTAATCATCGATTGAGTTTTGTTCGACTTTCCTGTGCCAGGATATGTAAACTGATGAGACTGGGTGGGACTGAAACAATTGGAACGCATGTATTTGATCAATTAAATTATTACAATTCTTTACTACCTATACTTAAAAACATTAGTGTCTTATTTCTGGTTCATGGTTTGCAATTTGGTGTAGCTATTTACGGAACTTGCATTTCTGAATATCTAAATACAACTAATGTTATACTTACTTTACTTACCAACGCCTTACTGTGAAAATCGGAAGCGACCTTTGACTTTTGTCCCGAAAGATCTTTGTTGGAGGACTGCATGACAGAGTAGGCTTCTGTATACATGGTGGCAGAGGTCGTGTTCTTCCGGACATGCCCAGTCATTAGTCGATGTTGGTGCCACTTCCGGCGGACTATTGACGTCACCTGCCAAAACAGATAAAAATAATGAGTGTTCTGTCAGTGACATACGTCAACGTTGAAGAAGCATCACAATAATAACGACCCATGTTTGCTCAAGGGAATGGTTCAACTATCTCGTGTGTCATACATTTTTTATACAAAAACAACCCATCACAATATGGCCCCAACGGAACTGACGAAAGTAAGCAACTTTTGAAGGGCTTTGATCGCAGATGCCATCAATTGTGTTTTCTTTTTCAGAAAGACGAACGAAGAGTCGGGGGGTGTGTGTGTGTGTGTGTGTGTGTGTGTGTGTGTGTGTGTGTGTGTCTATGGACGCACTGCTGTCGAGCCCCACCAGCGGCGCTAAATACAGACTTGGGTTCCTCAGGGATGTCGGAATCTAGTGATGTCCGAATACCCATACAAACCATCAGCATCAATACGATGCCTCTTGTTCAAAGCTGATGGTGAAAAAAGCCCACCCCAGCAGACCTCACACACATATGTGTTGTGTTATCACTGAGTGTATATATAAACTAAACTGGACAAAACGTTTTCTATTTTTGTGAGGAAATTCGGCCAAAATCAGAGTGAACCAAATGACTGACTGACTGACTGAGTTCGGTTTTACGCCGCTTCTAGCAATATTCCAGCAACATCACGGCGGGGGACACCAGAAATGGGCTTCACACATTGTACCCATGTGGGGATTCGAACCCCGGGTCTTCGGCGTGACAAGCCAACGCTTTAACCATGAGGCTACCCCACCGCCCCGTGAACCAAATGAAGATAAGAGAGCATCAATAATCATGTTTTGTTGAAATGATGTATTTTATTTTGGTTACAAACATGAAGAAACCTTTGTCTGGATTCAAGTTTAATCTTGATTACCAGTAGGCATTCCACGCAGGCCCGAATGCTGGACCCGAAAGTTTATGTTCAAGAGACAACAGATCGGTGGTCAAGCTCGATGGCGCACTTGATGCCGGTCATTGTATCCCATTTACGTAGATCAATGCTCACGATGACTGCATTTTCTGGTCTAGATTCGATTATTTCCAGACTGTTGTCATAAAGCTAGAATATCGACTATGGCGTCCAGCAACGAAAACAAATGGCGATTAAAACAAGTTATCTTAATAATGTTATAGATTGTCAAACGTCTGGAAAGAAAGATTTTCATCGGCGATAGTTGTGCTCATGCACGCAAAATAAGTTCCATTATAGAACGTTTGACTGGATTCTACATGAAGAGATCAAGTAATATAAAAACGTCCATGGATGCGGTGTCACAAATATCTAACGTTTCACAGAGATAATTGTGAAATTACATCAGGGCATTAGCCTTTTGAAACATAGGGAATACCAAAAAGAAACCCGTTCAACTTGAAATTTCCTCAAGGGAGGTTGAAGTACCGTAAAATTATTGTCTTCCTGAGAGGATACGTAAGTCCCAAAACATTCGAAGTAAAATTTAATCTTCCGTATCTACTCGTAGTATTATTGTCATTTTAATTTGTGGCTAATTTTGCCTACAATCGCCAGCAGCTAAAGGTATGGTGTAAATCCAGCTAAGATCCATGCAGGTAGCAAAGGCACTGTAAGTCCCCATGGTCCCTAGTATGGTGATCTACCTTCAGTTGTTGGCGATCAATACCCCGTTTATTTATTGTCTAAAATAGTTTTCTATTTTTAAAGATACATGCTAGCTAGTTTTAACTAATTTTGTGATACTCTAGTTATGTTACAGTCCGTCGATGACTGGTTATTTAACTAATTGTATTTATTGTGTATGTACAACAATTTCTCGTCACTATATGGCTGAAATATTGCCGAGGTGACGTTAAATTTTAACTCACTCACTCAACTTGTAATTTTATTCTCCCTGTGAGCGTTTACTTTTTTCACAGAATGCAATGATACGTCGATATGAATTTTTTAAATGTCACCTCTGAACAATGGGAACGAAAACATTTGTTCTTTTCACAAGATTCCTCACTGGGTTAAAAGTGATTTTGAATCAAGGACCACTTTGGTAGGATGTAAGAACAAGGTTGTAACTTAGTTATACGGTTGTCTGTTCTATTTAGGACAACTAGTAGTAGATTAATTCATATAAAACCTGACATGTTACTCTAGAAATTTAATAACGTTATTTCCCTGTATACGCCAATGATCACGCACTTTGTATGAGTAAAACTCAAAAATAGACGCATTAATAAATGGCCATTTTAATTCAGCACGTCACTTGGCAATTTGTTCGAAGTGGAACGCCAGTCATGAATCTTAAGAGGGACTCTTTGCCATTTGCAGCAACTCTAATTCAAATTGTCCTCAAGTGTAACAGACACAGCACGCAAACACTTCAGAGGTTTATCACAATATTTCCAGTTTAAGCCAGCGAGGACACCTGAAACTTTCAGTCGATAAGGTTTCACCAATTGGCAGGTTTCGTGCCAGTAGCTGTAAGGTGAGTCCATACTGAGCGAGTGTGCAGTACCTCTGACAATTGGTTGCAAGTCACGCACTGTCCAAATGCAATCAGATATGCTCTCCACTTGTCTTGAGGATAAGGTACTTTCATTATACGAAGTGGACAACCTCGTTTCTGGGGTCTGTGATGAAACGTGAATGCTCAAATGGAACTGAGAACATCCTTGGAGACTCGAAATAAGTCTATTGTACCGATCTTCTGTAAATACAGCCTTAAAATTGTGATTGGATGATGTTGAATTTCTGTATTGGATAACGCCGTGAATAAAACTCTATTTTAGACTACTCGTTACAAAATTCCTTCCAAGGTGTTGGTTACTGTTTCCAAAATTGGCTGGAGAAAATCATGTTTTATCACAGTAAGACGAAGGAAATACATTGTTCACATGGCACAATGTGTGAGACCCATGATGAGATACCTGGATAGTTCGTTGTTAAAAGCGGCTGAAAACCATACCTCCACACTCCGTAGATAGATAGATACATACATACATGTAGATAGATAGTAACTGACTGCATCTATTTGTTCATTTTAGGTATGAATCATACTTGACTGCTATTATCCATACATCCATGTAACTTTAAACCACTAGGTGAAGCATTTCATTATGATTTATAATAGTCTAATAATTCAGCACTAAAGCAACAATGAATAACTGAGTCATCTAGGTCATCTCATTCCCGTTGACCTATTTCACACCATATATAAACACATAATTACATAAGCCATTATACTATATAGCTATACTCCATGGGGAGGGATAATGTTCCTGCCATGTGATAAACACTTCAATTCATCACCCCAAACGTTATGTGTTGACTTAATCGCTTCATGCATTCACCCCTTCAGCATCATATCCTTATTTACATTGGCAGCACGCCTCCCGGTAGCAGCATCTGACCCGCGTGTGAACTGTACATAGTGACCAATTCAAGATAGCAATTGTGCCTGTTTGTGTTACCATAAGCGACAAACATCTTTCCAAAACCATAACACATTTCTACTAAAAGCGGAATCTAGTGTACGATTACGACTGTATCGTGAGCCTGTGTTTATGACTCACTACTAAACAGCGATACAGAAACTCCAGAGGCAACTGTCTACTAAATTTGTATGAGAATCCGCAAATAATCAAAAGGTTACATGGAAGCTTAGCTTTAAACGAGACAACTCGTCCTTAATGTTAAACAAAGGCTAAGTATATTTTTGGAATAAACTGTTGATTTTTATAAGTGGAAATCCTTAAGGTTTGCTTCTACTATTTCCAACCCTATGTATGTTATCCTGTCAACTGTAAATAACACTTTGATAGCACACAATAAGCACAACCAACTATTCAGTTCTTTATGAATGAGTAATTATGGTTATTTTAATTAAGTGGTGTGTTGATTATAATTACGTTTGCTTTCAACATGTGAGTATTTGACGTTTTAGTTAATGTTCAGATATTAACCCATACGTGTACAGGTGTCAGGAAGATTTATTTTATAAGGTTTAACTAAAGCGTTTGGATTTTTGGTGAATCAATAAGGACCAATGCATGTTAGTCAGGATACTGTGACATTAAGCTATATTAACTGCCTTGCAGAAACATTCATCCATGTGCACATGAAACCAACAAGAAAGGGGTATTTGCTGGTAATGTTTAAGATAAGAATCATCGTTGTGTTTTAGGAACTGAAGATTGTTTGAATTCCTTTGACTGTAACAGTGTCTTGTGTTTCTTCTTCAACTACTTTGGAAATACTTGTACTTGTTCCTTATAATCCCATTTTCACGCCTTGACTTTCCTTTGACAGTTTATGTTTATGTAATATACATGCATCTCCATATGGGATAAAGCAAGACGCATGGACTTTAAAACGCGTCCAATGACACTGACAGCAAAATTATGTAAATCCATGTAGAGTTCATGGAGGTACTAATTATTCTTAAATTTCCACAAAGAGTTCCACTATGTAGCTGTCATCATTACAATTGAGAGATATCATAAACAGTTTGAATTGATGTAAAAGATAACTTCCTTGATCTGACTTAATGATCAGAGATGAGCCTGTATACCTGTAGTGTGTCGTACGTATGTCTAGTTACCGTAGGAAAGCCAAGGGAAATCAGATGGGCTATTTGTCACGCAATACAGGATAAATTCCCAGGTTTCAAAAGCACCAAAGCATTGACTTATATAACAATAATTATTTCAGTATGAATTTGGTTTCGTTTGACCAGAGAGGATTTTATGTCCTTTTAAGAGTACGATTAAATGCCTGGAATACACAATCATCTCAATGTATTATACATTATCACAATCAAGTCAAAAAGTGATATTCATCTTTAACATACGTCTAGTATGGCACTTGCTTTTAAAAGCATAAGTCAAGTCCTTATGCTCAGAGGTCATGGACGGACCGTGGGATATCCTTAAGGGAGGGCACATGGACCTTATTCTTTGGATGTTTGCTTTGTGTAAGAAAGGTTTTGGCCTCCAATGAACACACGCATGTAATTGTTCATTTAGTTTTGTTTTTGTTTGTTTGTTGTTTAACGCCACAATCAGCAATATTCCAGCTATATGGCAGCAGTCTGTATATAATAAAGTCTTGGCCAGACAGTCCAGTGATCAACAGCATGAGCATCGATCTAGGCAATTGGGATACAATGACTTCTGTCAACCAAGTCAGCGAATCTGACCACCCGATCCCGTCAGTGGACTGGTTCACTTAATGAAAACAAAAGCACCGCTTACTGTATGTTCTTATAACAAATACATAAAAGACTTGTACTTACTTCTCCGTTACAAAAGCAATACATGATCGAGACTAGGGCTCCCTGCAACCAGAGAACAAAAATGAGGTTAAGACCTGTGTCATTTGGGATGTCCTCCCAAGAAGATTTATTCAAAGAGGCATTTTAGCACAATACACTAGCTCATTCACCCACTCACGAACCATATTGCATCATGAAGTTAAAGAGTGAAGTTAAGTCTTTCTCAAAAGACTGATAAGAACACATATATTTTTGTGGTATAATAATGTGCCCATCCCCTTCACTCGTACATGTTCTACATTACTGTAACAAACTTAATGTGCAATTTCGGAAACTAACTTTGCATACGTATGTGAATGAAAATAGACTGTTTGTGGCACAAAACGTCAATTATGATTCAGTATTCAACACACCTGCAGTGACGTCAGTAGCGCAATGAAGTAATGGTAGAACTCGTAGAGTGGAGAGTCCTTGTCAGGGCGGACTGGGAATACCAGATACTGAAGGCCAAACAGTGGAACCAGGATCAACGTGGCCCGAGCCGCCTTTCTGGAAGAGGGACACATATTGTAACTACTACTACTACTGGTGATGATGATGGTGATGATGATGATGATGGTGGTGGTGGTGGTGATGATGGTGATACTGCTACGGTTACTCCTACTCTTACTGCTGCTGCTTCTGCTTCTGCTGGTGCTGGTGATGTTGAGGGTAGTAGGGATTATACTACTACTGTTACTTCTACTGTTGCTGCTGCTGCTCCTGCTACTGCACGCTCTTGCAATGCAATTACATATTATTTGTTCATACTAACTCACTCTGTGCACTGCGCTATTTCTCATCCACTCAATGCAACCAAAAACTTACTAAGCCCAATAATACACCCACTCACTCATTTAGTCACTCACACACCCACACGCCCACTCTATGCATTCAACGACTTACTCACTCTATACACTCACACACTCACTCTATACACTTGCCCACTCACTCAAAGCACTTACTTGCTTTGTGACGCTTCTGGAATTTGTCGTAGCTTTGTGACAAGCAAACGGATGATGTTGATCAGGATACAGATGTTGACCTGAATCGAGAAAAAGATATTGATGATGACATGAAAGTATCAAAAGGTACATACGTAGGGCCTTATTAGACACGGATTTTGACCTGTACTGGATTCAAAGATACAGAAGCAGACTTGATTCAGATCACAAGATACAGAAGTTGACATGAAGTGGATCAAACGTTACAGAGGTTGATAAAAACTAACTGTAAGTCACACTATCATGATCACCATATTAAGAGGTGAGGTGAGGTGAGGTGAGGTGAGGTGAGGTGAGGTGAGGTGAGGTGAGGTGAGGTGAGGTGAGGTGAGGTGAGGTGAGGTGAGGTGAGGTGAGGTGAGGTGAGGTGAGGTGAGGTGAAATTGGGTTTTACGTCGTGCTTGAGAATATTTCGCTCATATGACGACTTGCATATGCGTGTGTATGTGTATGTGCGGCTGCTTGTACTAGCCCAGACTTTTATTGGTTTTATAGTGCTAGCCCACTGAGATACCATACCGAAGTGAAGCATGAATACCCCACTCAGACTATATTATACTGACTCCGAGCCAACCAGTTCTTGTTGTACCCATTAATGCCGAGCGCCAGGCAGTGACCATCACGTACACCATATCAAGACAATAAAGGATCTCACAGCATTGACACAAACATTACAGGCAGTTTACTTCTGGTGTAAACACCACCTGCCGCCCCCACTAACACATCCATCCACAGTGTTTTTAATATGATGACTGCACTTGAAAATCATCTGAAAGTTTTGATGATTTTTTGTCTATCCTAAAACCTACACCCACAAGAATCAGGTTTATAAATTACAGGCGACTCCTTGTAGCTTTTCATTAGAAGAAACGTCTATACTGTATGACAACAAATCAAATGAAACGGTTTTCGCGTTATTAATATGACAGAAAGGACTTTATTACAGCAAAGTGTGAGTTTAAAACAAACAACTTGATGTTTGAAACTAATCTTCGACGTTTATCACTTTGGCTAAATCCACTTCGTGCTAACTACACTAGATCCAGAAAATGGATGAATCTGGCATTCCAGCCCACGTTTACAGAACATGCATTGGTCTGCCACCACCAAACCCCGTGCTTCACTACAATATGATGCTACGGCTCCTCCCACTTTCTGACACAACTGTTCTACTTACGAGCACTGAGAATATTACAGGACCGTAGAGAATCCACTGGTAAGAGTCGGGAAATACCCAGCAGCTGAAAGACAAAGACATGTTGTTACTGAATTACCTATTAAAATCAAGGAGGAAGCATCATACACGTACTATGTACCATAAACCATACAAGACACAGCTCACAAGCCATAGCATACAAAGCACAGAGCACAAGTCATGGGGTACAAGACACAGCTCACAAGCCATAGTGTACAGGGCACAGCTCACAAGTCATAGCGTACAAGACACAGCTCACACGCCATAGCGTACAAGGCATAGAACACAAGTCATGAGGTACAAGGCACAGAACACAAGTCATGGCGTGCAAGACTCAGAACACAAGTGATGGAGTTCATGACATAGAACACAAGTCATGGGGTACAAGACTCAGAACATATGTCTGGCATACAAGAGACAGAACACTAGCCATTGCGTACAAGACTACAAACACAAGCCATGGCGTACAAGACAGCAAACACAAGCCATGGCGTACAAGACTACAAACACAAGCCATGGCGTACAAGACTACAAACACAAGCCATGGCGTACAAGACTACAAACACAAGCCATGGCGTACAAGACAGCAAACACAAGCCATGGCGTACAAGACAGCAAACACAAGCCATGGCGTACAAGACACCAAACACAAGCCATGGCGTACAAGACAAAGAAGACACGTCATGACGTAGAAGAGGCAGGTCACAAGTCATTCCGTATAAAACACAGAACTCAAGTTATGGCGTACAAGACACAGAATACAAGTCACTCCACAGCGAACAAGTCATGACGTGCACATTACGTGTAGAGCAGAATAGGCAAAGAAACAAACTTCATTTTGAGAACATCAATTTCACTGAAAAAGTATTGGATCCTGTCATTCTTATGCAGAATAAATGCCAAGATAGCTGTTTTTGCTACGAAATAGCTACAAGTAGTAAAGTGTGTCTTACATTTATGACATTAAACGTAAGTTTGAGAGAAATCTCAAAGAACTGTTAATACTTAATCATCACAGTTTGCTAAAGAAGATTTATCAATCTGAAATAATGATGATCTTTTTCGTCCATTCAATATGACAAAGTGAAATCTGTCTGCATCTGCGGCGCTATGCTGATGGAAAATGCCCTCTGTGTGTCAGAGTTGTAATCACTGATGTTTCTTGAGGCACCAGCCATGATCAGAGATAGCCCGCCGTCTGTCTTTATAACCCTCAGTCTTGTAACGAGGATTAACCTTAACGAATAACCACTCCTTGTCCTTCTTTCCTAATGTTTCGGATGGCTCACTAGATGGCGCCATAAACCTTGCAGGGGATGTCTCAAAGTCTCAAATGTCAGATATCAATGTCATTTAAATAACGTCCCCACTTAGCATCTTTGTGATATTTAACAAGCGTGTTCAAGGAAGCACTTCGTGAATAGATTATATGTACAAATATGAAACTAGATTGTCAGAGAGTTGTGTCTTTTTACGTCGAGACTACGCCTGAACCGCCTGATTTGTACAGATCAAACAGATTTCGTAGGGCACCAATTGGCATCTACAATGATGCCCCTAAAATGATATTACAAAAGTCCAATTAACATTTTCTATATTTTACAACGTAGTGGTATTGTTAGAAATTGTCTATTTATTTCGTTAACTGACCATCTAATTCCTTGTTCGATTCTCTTGGTATGATACACACATGTGCACATATGTAAATTCGGTTAAGTGTTTAAAGACTTAAACGAATTTACCAAGCATAAACGTACATAAATAGAAGAAAACAAACCACAGAAAACAAGTAAACATGTAAAACAAGTTTAACAACTAAACAAGTAAAATGAATACACCAAGTAAAAGCAAGTAAACAAGGAAATATGCCAAGTATATAAGCAAAACTAATACACCAAGTAAACACAAGTAAGGTAAAAGAAAATATAAGTAAAAGAAGCTTACAAGTAAATCGGATATACGAAGTAAAACAAGTAAATTAGACATACCAGGTAAAACAAAAAAACAAGAAAAAGAATATATCAAGCAAAACAAATATTACAGGTAAAACAGTAAATCCATGCATGGTTTAAGTAAACCAACCTGTCATTATAATGTCCCCGAGTTGCCTTTACTGCAGTGTAGATTATGGTTAATAGAGCAGGTATACCTGAAATATAGAAACGATTGTAAATAACAATTAGACATTCATATATATTGACATCCAGGATGAGTGTGATCTTTTGTTCACTGTTTCGCCCATTGTTAGACATGGTAGATAGAATCTTCGTCGAAACAGTGAAACTAGACAAAAGAGGGCTGAAAAGCGGGTGTACTTGATTTTCTATGAATTTATGAAAAATGAATCTTGCACAATTTGCCTCTCTCTGTTGCCCCATTCCTCATAATCATCCAATTTGAGTCTGATCGATAACAACTAAAGAACATTTCATGTTCACCAATAACCCCTATCTCATCCGAGCATGATGTTTTGGATGGTTGGGTTTGGTTTTTATTTTTGTTTTTTTCACTCAACAATTTTCCCGCTATATGACGGCAGTCTGTAATTAATCAAATCTGGACCAGACAATCCAGCGATCAACAGCATCAGCATCACTCTTTGCAACTGGGATTCTATTAGATGTTTTCGAACCCCAGATCACAGAAGTCTGTGATGCAACCTGAACGCATGACATGGTGCTGATAAAGCAAACGTCATACTATCACAACCAAGGCACAGGCCATAGCTGGAACACTGATGAGTGAGGCGTTTAACAACAACCAAACAAACAATGCTGTGAACTTCTAATGTCAGCTTCGCCTGCCAACCACACTAAGCTATACACTGAAATACTGTTCAAAGTGGCGTCACATATAAGTCACGCACTTCTGTAACCGGTGAACCTACATTGTATTGCACACTTATCACGAACCTCAAGCTTAGATCTTCCCACAAAGGGTTGTTACTATACAGAAACTTCCAAAAGTCAAGCAAGCAGTTTTTAGAAAGCCTTGACCTAAACTGACTGTAATCGCTAGACCGTGGAGACAGCCCCATTAAACACCCATCCAGACAGAAAGCTATCCTCAAGTAACTGATGTTATTCCCAAATTGCTTCTGCGTATATCCTGCTAAAGGTCCGACTTTAGTCCACGTGGTTATCAGAGTAACACACGCTGGATATCAAAGCAATCTCGATTGAGGACACACTCATCTTGTCACTGACTCGCCCTTCAAGCAGTTCGATAGATGAGTCAGCCTTGGGAATGCTTCTTGCGGAAGGAAATCCAATCCAGGACGATGATCCATTCCATTGACATTGAAAAGGCTTACATTTACAAAAAGCATATTTATTGTTACCAGTGTTGTTCAGTGTGAAATATGTGTTACTCCTTTTCGAGGTACAACGAACCGTCTTAGCATTGTGACTTAAACCCATTCCGTCAATGCAGTCGCCGAAATACAGCATGGACCATAAAGCAAAACTTAGCATCCGACTCCATCATAACTATGTAGGCATGAATCACTATCAAATAGTGATGAAATCAGCTAGGAGCGACACCGGCCGCATCTAACACAGTAACATTCAAAGGCATGTCAATTGTTCAATCACATAGTGAAAAGACCAATGTTCAACATTTTCCGGTGCAGCTGTAGATGAGAACATAAAGAGCTTCACAAACTTTCTTGAACAACGTCAGTAAATGGTCGTTTTAAGAACAACAATCTCAAAACAAAAAGAATTACACAAATTATCAAACAAAAAATACAATGAGAAGAAGGATAAAACTGCTAATATAATTTGAAGAAACTAAAAATCATAAAAACTACTGAACTACACATTCAAGAAAAACATGAGAAGAGTTTACAAAAAAAATATACCACACTATACCACAAAATCATTTAGCTAAATATGTAATCAGAAATACTATTTGAAAAACACCCACCAACAAATTTATCCTGGAGATTGAACTGCTCAGCACATTTACAGTTTGAAGAAGAATACATTCATAAAATATTATTCAAAGTTCTCGAAAGTTCAATCGAACCGAAAAAAACAAGATAGATCAAATCACAAACATGATGAAGTCCTATTCCGAACCAATTTATAACATTACTTTTATCCAAACTGTTATATTAAAGGTACGCCCTGAGGAATGTTGGCGTACAGGAATAGTGTTAAATCTATACATGTAAAAACGAAACCCCCGCTCCTTCAAAATACATCCTTGGGGAAAACTATCTTGCTAATGCGTGATGGAAAAGTCCTTGAAAGTTCCCATTTGTTTTCTTGCTTACTCTGACATGTAATCACCGACCAGCAGAAGCATCAAGTGGTCAGTGACAAATCCTACACGTGTCTGACGTGATGCATGTGCTGAAACAAATACGATATCGATATCGATTAGTCTTCTAACCGCGTGCTTCAATAAGTCTCATCGACGTTCAATATTAGTATCCAATAAGCCTAATCTGAGACACCAATCAACCAGGCCTATTGTATGGCTTTTTGGAGTTTAAACCTCCCCAAAACGCAGGAAATGATTAACGATACTGGTACGTTGATCCTGGTGTGTTACGAACAAAACGTCAGTGGAATTCACTGGGCAATTAATTCTGGACATCTGTTGACGTTGTGCTAAGGGAATTGGTTTTATTTCCAGAATTGTATTTGATTTGAATTGAGTTTGAGGTTTTCGGTCAAGAGTGTCAGAATGCTGTCAAGAGTATCAGAATGGTGATATAATTTAGTTAAGCAAGAATGTTCTTATCTACAACGAAAATCCTAGACTTTAAGTCTTTTTACAACTATTGGCTGGACAGGGTTTACATCTAAGGTGACTTTATTTGAAGCTGCTTCATCTTGGTGTGGGAGGAGAGTACGTGCTGATGCAGGTCTCAGAATAGCTTGACCCAGAGTAAAGGTTTGGTGGTAGCAAACCTATAAACACAATGGGTTCTGACCGGGATTCCGATTCGACCTTAAGTGTCCAGTGTGCTCTTCAATCTTTCATAAACAATTATTTGCATGAAACAAATTAGCTGAATTAGTTTGTTTCAGACTGGTGAGGGGGGAAAGAGCGCAGTGATACAGTTCTCAAACATTTACTACTTAGGCTCAACCTTGAGGCGGGTGTAGTGCTAACAAACCAAGAAACACAATAGGTCTCGGATTTGACCACACGACCATAAGTGTCTACGTGCGCATCAATCCCTGGCAAACAAATGATTTCATAAACCAAATTAGCTGAACAGATATGAGTACAACAAGTCATGGTCCAGTACTTCGAGGGGGCATTTTCAGTAATGCAATAAGACATCATTAATTAGGTACAGACTTCTCCTGCCTCCAGACAAAACTGAAACCATCTGAATCCAGAAGCATTCAAGGAGTCAATTTCTCCAGCACCGTGAGCAAGAAACGTCGCTTAGATTTGCCGATAACTACATCAGTAGATTGACCTGAGAAAGAATCAGAAGTGATATCCATCAGCACAATAGAATGGGCATGCTTGCTTCGCAGAACGTTTAAGGCGGTGTCGCTCAATGGAGGAATTAGCGGGTGATCTCCAGGCTAAAACGGTTAACATTGTCTGATGAACTGGGCATCACCAATGATTGTGTGCCTCATTTAGCAAATGCATTGTGTGAATTACTTCTTTTTTATATGAAATCGTTTAGGGATGCACAGGGCGTTTGTGATGGAAGTTCGAGATGCGTCGTTAGGAAGATTGGGTATTTCCTTACTAGTTGACGATATGCAATGTTGTCTGAAGAACACATTTGACTTAACACTCATATCCATTTAGGATAACAGGGGATTAACCTTGGGGACATGTTAGGGATTACATGGACAATCAGTAGTGGAGAACAAAACATCACATTTTGCATTTTGTTCAGAAAGAACACCCACATTTGTATGAGCTATTTTTATTCAGATATATTTCAATAAATACTAGATTTTCATGAGACATATTGATTCCATGATTTAATCTGGAATTTATAAAATGGACGTCACGCTCTTCATCGCGATGTTATCGTGACCGCGATCTGGCCGCGACGTGAAACAGACCCAGATGCAATCTGATTGCAACAGAAGGTTTTTCTTGTCGCGAGCGCATCGGTATCTGATCGCGACAGGATCGAACGATCCTTGCGACGGGATACAGATAAAGAGGATGTTTCGAAGTGAAGTTATCCATATTGATGTGTCATATTCCAAATCTGTTTGAACCTTTTAGAGTGAGTGAGTTAAGGATTCCGCAGCAATATTCCATCAATAGGGGACACCAGATATGGACTTTACACATTGTATTCATGTGGGTATTCCAAACCAGGTCTTCGGCGAGGCGACCGTACGCTTTAAAGTGGCACTGATTCAGAGCTATTAATGTTTCCAGCCAACAGTCTAATTACGAAACCTAGCTGCAAACTGGTCAGCCCCTGCTCCCTCGACCGTGACGGACACGCGGACTGGGCTACTGTCCACCTTGGCAGAATTTCTTCAACCTTAACAGTGGGACATGAGGAAGGGTGGATGCCCATCAGATGCCGTTATTTGAAAATATCCCCGGTAGTTCTTGTCTGCTCGTGATAAGGTATCCCAGCAGTGTAGGCTTTTTCAGATTTTCTGATGCTTGGATGGTATAGTGACTGATCCAATTTCTGTGTTTTACCTCGATATCATGTAAACTAAACAACCCCACTTTTCCATTGCTAAAAGAATCTGAAATTTTACTTAGGCACATAGGTATATACAGTTTTTAACTAAGTACACAGCAAATGCTTATATGTATTTCTTATGCAACAATGACGTTATGCTCGTATCCTCGTAGTTGATTTTTGTTTGTTTGTTTCTTTTTTCCTCTTTTTTTTGGGGGTTTCTAGCAATCAAACTTGCATGCAATACAGTGATTACTACTCTTTTGCTGCAACCCTTTTTTGGTCGTAAACCTACACCTGTTATTTGTCATCATTCACTTCATGGTCAGTTAATGAATTTATAACAGGTATAATTATTGCTAACACCACTCAGATTACCCGACAAAGGTTACCATTTAGCATTTCTTGTGTCTGGAGTAAATATTCATCATAATAAATTGAGGTCTGATGTGGCAAATGTATTACATCTTATGTAATATGCGCATGGAAGTGAAGCAGGAAGTGCA